CCTCAAGGGTATGAGGTTGCCTGGAACAGGGGTGGTGGAGGGACCGCACAGGGTAGGAGGGTGTGTGGTGTGTGTGCGCGCAACATCAGTTCCGAGCTAGCAGCCGTTGCGAGTGTATACTTGCACGACTGCGACACACCCGGACATATTGAGCAATCTTATTGCGATAGATTGGTTGTTTGTCATTTACGATGGCGAAAATTGAGAAGCTGGCTAACCAGCTGAAAGAGAAGAAAGATGCTGTCGCCATGCTGGCAGAGCAGATGCGAAACCTGCAAGAAGCCTTCTTGCAAGCACAACAGGAGATCGAGGACCTGAACGGGAAGCTCCGCAGGGCCACGAAGAAGGCCGCAAAGAAGACCGAAGAAGGCGAGGCAGAGGACCACCAGGCTACGTCGGACGAGATGGACGCTCAAGAAGAGGACACCCAACGGACCGAAGAGGATAGGACCACGACAGAGACAGCAAGCAACGACGACACCGATTTCAGTGTCGCCACCAGACGGAAAAAAAAAAGCGGGTGCGAATTTCCTCCTCCGAAGACGAGACGCCAAGGCAGCCAAAGATGCCAGCTGCCGCCACCAAGAACGAGTCCTAGAGCAGCCAGGACCGCCGATGCAAACATGTGCCAACTGATCCAGAGCTATCTAACACAAAGACGGTTCGCGGTGAGGATTGGTACATGCCATTCAACACGACGACAGCTGGTAGCAGGCGTGCTCCAGGAGTCAGCCTCAGTCCCCCCTGCTCTACAACATCTATACTCATGACGTACCGAAGACAGCTCACACAATGCTGGCCCTATATGCAGATGACATTGCTATCGCCGCTAAGCATCGACGACCCGAGATTATCCGTAGCAGACTACAGGATGAACTGGACTGTTGCGTGAAATGGAAAATCCGTATCAACGTCCAGAAGACGCAGGCAATCTTCATCCAACGAAGAAGGATTGCAAGCCCTCTCGAAGCATCCATCATCGACGAAGATATCCAGTGGAGCGACAAGGTCAAATATCTGGGGATCGTATTTGACAAGTCCCTCACCTGGAAAGACCACACATAGAAGCTGTCATCGCAAAGACCAGAGCAGCCATGGCTCAACTCTACCCAATACTGGGTAGACACAGCCGGATGCCGCTAGCGACCAAGCTACGGCTGATCAAGGCCATCGCCAGACCTCAGCTCGCTTACGCCTCCGCGGTCTGGGGGTACGCTGCTCTAGAGATGAAGCTACTCCGGATCGCCACCAACCGATCCATCCTACGTAAGAAACTCAACCTTGCGTAGAGACCTGCATTGGGACACCATTCACGAGTACATGAGGAAAAAAGCGGAGAAGACCTTCCAGAAAGCTCAGGACCACCCTAACGAGCAGCTACGATTCCTCATGAACTACGATCCGGACGAGAGGCATCGCAACCGCAGAACCAGGTACCCTAGACCAAGGTCCCAGTTGGCACCCGCTAGTTGGAACCTTGACTAGGAGACTAGGAGAACCCGCGGTTGCTGCAACATCAAAAGTATCTGAAAACCGTCCTGTAGCCGCGACATCCCCGACTGGTACTAGAACAACCCGACGACAGAACTGGGTGGTCGGGGTCAGTGTGTCAGGTCGGTATGCAACCTGCAACCGACGGTCACGGTCACGCGCGTAGAGGTAAACGAACCGGTATAATCGATTGCGTTTCAATAAAAAACAACGAGCACTAGAGACGTGGCTAGAGAAGTGCAAGTATCAAAAACTAAAGTGTGGCAAGCGCTGCGTGAAGAGGGGCTGTATCCGTTTCACGTCTAACGTGTACAAGCCCTTCAACCTGACGATTTTCCAGCAAGAGTGCGGTTTTGTGAGTAGTTGTTGCATCAACATGACAATAATCCGGACTCTTTGAAGTGCATATTCGTGTGACAGACGAATCTATGTTCACGCGTCGGGCACATTTTCAACAAACATTTTCGGTGAATGATAGGGCTGGCATGGTGAACGGTATGCTCATTGGACAATTTATTCTCCCAAATCGATTGGACGGGATGCAATACCTAGACTATTTACGCAACATTTTACCTTCCTTGTTAGCCTACGTCTGCTCGGTAGCGCATCAGCTGATTTCATTTTCTGTTGGAGCGGTATGATTTCTGGCAGAGACGTACTTAGCCCTTCTGGTCAACTGGAGAGAGAGTAATTTCACCAATATTTTTTTATTTACTCGGTCGTTGTCGTTTCACTACACATTACCTTTGTTATTTCAAGGGTAGTTGTTTCTGAAAAGGAAAACCCCAACTTCGCGGACATCCCGTATATGCCGCATCCGCGTCGCTCACCGAGGCGCGCTCTATCGCGTCACACCCGTTATTAAGAGAGGCACATCTACTCCCGTCGTTTACCCGCGCCCAGTGCAGCGAACCGAGTCGTGGCGTATCAAAGAATCAGATATGCGGCACCCGCGCCTCAGCCCGAGGCGTTGTTGTCAACCGCGTTACGGCCCTTATTAAGAGAGGCA